ACACACACACACACACACACACACACACACACACACACACAGACACAGACACAGACACAGACACACACACAGACACAGACACACACAGACACAGACACAGACACACACAGATTGTCAAACTGTTGTGTTTGTAATAAATGTTACACATGTTGTGTACTTCAGCAGGTCGTTCACATGGTAACTCTGCACATACTGAAGGTGAAGCTGCTGTAATAATAACATTAAATAAACATGTATTAATAAATACATGTTTATTTACAGACAAATTAACTGACATTTTGACTGCTGATAAATAGAGTTGTTATAATATTTCATAATAATAATTAATAAGAACTAATTAATGCCCAGTTTTTTTCCACACATGCAGATATTAATACGATGTGTCTCTATTAGTACTAATATTAAAAAATAAACTTCTGTCTGATGTCTCCAAACCAAAGCCACGTTTATAAGTCTTATAATAAGCTGAGCTGTTAATAAATCCCTGCAGATGTCAGAGAATTACACACGTTTCTGTTGGTGGTCAGCTCAGTGCGCTCACCACAGCTACAGCCAGGGTTGCTGACTGTACTAAGATGGCCGCCGTGAGAGGACAGCAGAGACTCCACCATGAAGGATCCAGTCTTTGTGTGTTTGTCAGGTGTTGCTGAGTGTGACCAGGTGTGTTTGTGTTGCAGTTCTTTGAAAAGGCAGCAGAGAACGTGAAGGAGAACATGGGAGAAGATGTTCAGAAGGATCAGCTGATCAGGGAGGTCTGCAGGAATGCTCTGGAACACGTGAGGTCACTTCCTGTTTGCTTTATACCTGATGGTCACATGACCTGCACCAATGGTTGAACTTCAGCAGTCGACATTCATAGAGGCACAGCCATGCTGCCTTCTCATTGGCTGATTAGCTGTGTGTTCACCTGCTGAGCAGGTGCAGCTGACAGTGAGCAGTGGGTCCACACAGGACTGCTAGCTTACAAAACAACAAAACTTTATTAAATAAAACAAAATACAGACCAGGCTTAAATAAAAACCTGTTCCCACATCTAAACCCCCCATCACTGAGAGGGGGCGGGGTCAGTTACTCTGTGATTGTTATGTCTATGACCTGTGCTCATGTGTGATGTCATCACCAGGCCAAACAGCTGTTTCCAGAGGTAGAGGGGAAGAAGGCGGGGCCAGATGTCACCATGAAGGTGGGAGCCTCAGACCAACCAATCACAGTGGGCTGGGACCCGACCTGTTCCTGACCCGGTTTTATCTTTCAGAGATCCAGACCTGCTGATGAAGACTATGGTCACAGAGGAAGCCCACTTCCCAAGAAGGTAAGGAGTTACTGGTCCAGGTGTTCCTGGTCCAGGTGTTACTGGTCCAGGTGTTCCTGGTCCAGGTGTTCCTGGTCCAGGTGTTCCTGGTCCAGGTGTTACTGGTCCAGGTGTTCCTGGTCCAGGTGTTACTGGTCCAGGTGTTCCTGGTCTGATGACTGGTCTGATGAAGAAGTGATGTTTGTGTCCTCAGAGGAAAAGCCGTCCAGGTGCCATCATGTCCTCTGATCGCCCTGTGACCTTTTCTCTGTGAGTATCTGACCGATGACATCATCAGTGTCCAGGTAAATACTAACACCTGATGTTGGTCTTTCTGTCCTTAGAGTGAAGCCAAAGGCTGAACCAATCAAGAGGGAGGGGCCAAAGGTGAGTCTGATCTCACCTGCCACAGGTGAACTGAGCATGATCTTTAAGGTTACAGTGCATAAGAATTAATCCTGACCTCACCTGTCCTGACCCCACCTGTCCTGACCTCACCTGTCCTGACTCTGACCCCACCTGTCCTGACCCCACCTGTCCTGAGCCCACCTGTCCTGACCCCACCTGTCCTGAGCCCACCTGTCCTGACCCCACCTGTCCTGAGCCCACCTGTCCTGACCCCACCTGTCCTGACCTCACCTGTCCTGACTCTGAGCCCACCTGTCCTGACCTCACCTGTCCTGACCCCACCAGTCCTGACCCCACCTGTCCTGACCTCACCTGTCCTGACTCTGAGCCCACCTGTCCTGACCTCACCTGTCCTGACCCCACCAGTCCTGACCCCACCTGTCCTGACCTCACCTGTCCTGACTCTGAGCCCACCTGTCCTGACCTCACCTGTCCTGACTCTGACCCCACCAGTCCTGACCTCACCTGTCCTGACCTCACCTGTCCTGACCTCACCTGTCCTGACCTCACCTGTCCTGACTCTGAGCCCACCTGTCCTGACCTCACCTGTCCTGACCCCACCTGTCCTGACCCACCTGTCCTGACCTCACCTGTCCTGACCCCACCAGTCCTGACCCCACCAGTCCTGACCCCACCTGTCCTGACCCACCTGTCCTGACCCACCTGTCCTGACCTCACCTGTCCTGACTCTGACCCCACCAGTCCTGACCTCACCTGTCCTGACCTCACCTGTCC